GACAAATTATCAAATATTGTGAAGAGGTTAAATAAGATAGAAGAAAGGGAAAAAAATCCACTGAATTTAGCAATTAAGAAATTAGCCAAAGACTACCATAGATAAAGGATGGGAAGGGTAAAGACCCCTCCCACAAAGGCTTTTCCTTTCATTCTATACTATTATTTTGAATCTTCTAATCTCATGCATGGTGTTCAACTTAGAATTCTCACCCAGCAGAATAAAGTAATTTTCAAACATCCGAATATTCAAAGTTTACCTCAAAGGCAGCATTTCAGAAGTTACTTTCTTAAGACATACCAACCAAACCAAAGGAGTAAATCAAAAAGATGACAACAGGTCCAGAAAACAGATCCAACCCTGGAAAGAAGTAGTTAAGTCACATGATGACAGACAGCTGGGCAGCAGGCCTGAAGCACACTCAGCCCAGCGAGAGGACTCTGGAAGGAAGACTTCAGAAAAAAGTGGTATCAGACTGCTTGCCATGAAGCACTTAAAAATAAACAATACAAAACAACACAACACAACACAACACACCCACAGAGGATATAATAAAGGAAAATAACAGGGAAAAAAAGGTAATTCCGATGGAAGAAAACTTGACAAGAATGGGAATGAAATTACAGTATGCTCCTGGCTCAACAACAAATAATCCTCAATATAACACTGTTACTGTTTTGCAAATTTGGAATCGCCTACAAAGAACTAAAGTGCCCATTAACGTTACTAGACTCAATGTAAATGTTCATTTTGACATAAAAATACAAATGCTTAACGCTGAGAAGTGAACGCAAGAGGTAGCTAAAGAGAATCTTGGTAAAGGTACATTAATCCTAGAAAGTAAGAAATCAACAAATATTGTCTACGGTTTCTGGAACAAGAAATAAAGTTATAATACAGTACCTTAAGTTACAAAGACATCAAATACAGGGAAATGAATAAATATGAGGAGAAGGGGAAGGAAACATTGGTATAGGTGAAACAGACTGAACTACGAAAAGTTAACAGTCAAAGCTAACTTTCTCTGGGAGAAAAGGACTGAAGTCAGAAGAATAAAACTTCTCATTGTAACTGTTCTTGCATTTTAAGCTCTTCTGTGTGATCTGATTTTCAAACCAATGTATATGAAATATCTGGGGAAAAAATTAAGAGAATAATTAGGAAATAAGGAAATCGAGGTGGCATGGCTATTTTTAAGAGTGAAGAGCTGGGGCCCTTGGGTGGTTCAGTCGGTTGAGCGTCCGACTTCGGCTCAGGTCATGATCTCGCGGTTTGTGAGTTCGAGCCCCGCATTGGGCTCTGTGCTGACATCTCAGAGCCTGCAGCCTGTTTCAGATTCTGTGTCTCCTCCTCTCTCTGCCCCTCCCCTGCTCATGCTCTGTCTCTCTGTCTCTCAACAATAAATAAATGTTAAAAAAAAAAAAAGAAAAGAGTGAAGAGCAGAAAAGAGAAAGGGTAGCTGCTAATGGTCAAAGAGCAGAAGAGAACAAATCATAATCATAATCATAATAAGCTAAAGCATAATTCTTAAGCTACCAGAGGGGGCAACAGTGATAATACCAAAGAAAGAAAGGGAAAACAAAGAAGCAAGGTGTTAGCCCTAGGATGGGCAGGGACAGGATCAAGAGCACAGGTATGCAATATAAAAGACCTAAAAATACCGGAGAATATGAGCAGAGATCGGTAACATTAACAGTTTACCAATCTGAGATAATAACAAGGTTTAATTCTAATGACGTCATGAGAATGCAGTACTGCTATAAAATGTGGATGACACTGCAGAGTCAAATATATACTAAGAAACCTTAACATGTCTTTAGGTGAGTTCTTCACCAGGATAATAATATAACCTCATGAAAATATCAGAAAAAGGAGTATAAAGGAAAACCAAGTTAGATGTCAAAAATTCTCAATAACACAGGAATAGGCAAGAAAAGAGCAGCAAAGGATAACAGGAGGGACTGAGGAAATAAGCTGTATCATATTAATCTCAAAGGATAAGATTTTTGTTTTTTGTATCAGGATAATAAAGAGCTATGGAAGTAGCAATGTAAATACTTCCTCTAGACCCTAGGGTAGATGTGATGTAATACCTTTAGGAAAGACAACATTCAATGAAGGTAAAGAATGGAAGGAAACATGCTATAGAAAACCCAATTTACAAGGGAAAGGGAAATTTGGAAGGATCCTATAAAAAGGACTGGAAGGCAGTCAACTGAAAAAGTAGAATTAATAAAACAAGAACATGTAAGAAAGTATTTTTTGGCAGTATGAAAATTTTGAATACAATCAAGTCTATAAAATATGAATTTATAGGAAATGCAGAGAACAGAGGACCACAGTACACTATACCATGAAAAGGTTATCAGCAAAATCTACATTGTGGGAAATTATAACTAGTGGAGTTAAAAATAAAGAAGAGAAGAGATGTAGGAAAAATATAGATTGAGACTATAAAGTCACAATGTGTGGACCTTATTTGGATCCTACTTTAAAAAAATACCCAATGCCATTTGAAAAAGCCATTTATGATATATCAGACAATCAGAAATTTGCTTGCTGAATATATAAAGATATTAAGGAATTGTAATTTTTTATATGTAAAGCTTTTTTAATTTATTTTTGAGAGAGAGAGAGAGAATGTGTGTGTGAGAGAGAGACAGAGAGAGAGGGAAGGGCACTGGCAGAGAGGGAGACAGAGGATCCAAGCTAGCTCTGCACTGTCAGTGCAGTCTAGTGCGGGGCTCGAACTCATGAACTGTAAGATCATGACCTGAGCCAAAGTCGGAATGCTTAACCGACTGAGGCACCCAGATGCCCCCAGGTATTGTAATTTTTTAATTTAAAAAAGCGTTCTTATATTGTAGAGGTGAATACTGAAATAATGGAAGAAATGATATGGTGTCTACAATGTGCTTTAAAATAACACCATAACAGAGAAAGCAGATGGCACAGAAATGGCTCAGGTAATAGGGCTATTGAAGCTGAGTGATTAGTATGTAAGAGTTCATTTCACCATTATGTCTACTTTTGTATGTTCAAAATTCTCCCTAAGAAAAAAGCTTTTTTTAAAGGATGTTTGCTATATTTCATCTAGCATTTCTCTTTTTTTATAATTTTATTTTGTTTTTTTAATATACATCCAAATTAGGTAGCATATAGTGCAACAATGATTTCAGGAGTAGATTCCTTAGTGCCCCTTACCCACTTAGCTCATCCCCCCTCCCACAAACCCTCCCATAACCCTCAGTTTGTTCTCCATATTTATGAATCTCTTCTGTTTTGTCCCCCTCCCTGTTTTTAATATTATTTTTGTTTCCCTTCCCTTAGGTTCATCTGTTTTGTCTCTTACAGTCCTCATATGAGTGAAGTCATATATTTGTCTTTCTCTGACTAATTCCACTTAGCATAATAACCTCTAGTTCCATTCACATAGTTGCAAATCTAGCATTTCTTAATAAGAGTGTTTTCAGGTTATTCAATCAGAAAGTTTCAGGAAATGAAATCCCAGATTTTGTTTTATATTTTACAATTCATCTCTCATGTACACTTGAAAGCAAAAGTTGTTCATAAAATTTATTACAGATTTTTTTCTTTTAAAGATTCTGATCTCGGGGCGCCTGGTGGCTCAGTCGGTTGGGTGGCCGACTTCGGCTCAGGTCATGATCTCGCGGTCCATGAGTTCGAGCCCTGTGTTGGGCTCTGTGCTGACAGCTCAGAGCCTGGAGCCTGTTTCAGATTCTGTGTCTCCGTCTCTCTGACCCTCCCCCGTTCATGCTCTGTCTCTCTCTGTCTCAAAAATAAATAAACGTTGAAAAAAAAAAAAAAGATTCTGATCTCTAAATATAGTACAAGTAGTATTAGGTACTGGCAAGTTTTTAAAAATGAAAAACTTAAAAAAGAAACATGTGAAACTGAAATTTTAGCTGAGAGTAAGATGACAGAGGGTGTTTGATTCCTCCTTGCCTGTGTTGTAGAAGAAGTATGCTAAATAACTTTGTGCTTTTTTATAAAGTGAATATTTAAGTATTTATGTCAAAAATTTTTAAGTTAGCCATTAAAAGACTTATAAGATCTTTAAATCTATAAGAAGGCAGAAAAGAAGGAAAAACGTAAAGAAAATTAAAAGCAAAATAAGATAACAAAAAATTTTTAAGTCCAGATGTCAACAAGTACAATAAATGTAGATTAGCCAATTAAAACCACTTTCTAGAAGACAAAGAACATCAGACTGGATTTTCTTTTTTTAATCAAGGTATACAGTGCTTAGAAGAGACACAAAACCATACAGAAAAGTTAACCAAAAAAAGGACATTTTTATCAAACTGACAGGTGCCAAATAGTACTAATCCTTGTTGATCAGAAGCCAAACTACAAACTAAAGGCAACTACAGGGGCGCCTGGGTGGCGCAGTCGGTTAAGCGTCCGACTTCAGCCAGGTCACGATCTCACCGTCTGTGAGTTCGAGCCCCGCGTCGGGCTCTGGGCTGATGGCTCAGAGCCTGGAGCCTGTTTCCGATTCTGTGTCTCCCTCTCTCTCTGCCCCTCCCCCGTTCATGCTCTGTCTCTCTCTGTCCCAAAAATAAATAAACGTTAAAAAAAAAAAATAAAGGCAACTACAAAATATAAATCAATAAACAAAAGAAATCCTAATGAAAAAAAAAACGAAAGACGTGAATAGACCAATAAACATAGGAGAAGATGGTAGATCTCACTTGTAATTAAGTAAATGCAAATTAAGGTAGGATATCGAATTATACCCATCCGGTTGCCAAATTAAGGAGTCCAAAGATACCAGTGTGAAAGAGAAGATATAGAGCAGAAGGACCCTTCAAACACCTGGTTTTAGAGAGCAACTGGGCTACATTTAATTAATCTGAAGATATAACTATTCTACAAACCAGAAATTCCATTTCTAGTTATAACCCTAGAGAAATAAATGTAGTACTGCATCATGTTCATAGTAGCATTATTTGTAAGAACAAAAAAAAACACAAATAGTGCTTCCCTTTGACAGCACAGATACTAAAATTAGAACACTACAGAGAAGATTAGCATGGCCCCTGTGCAAGCATGACATACAAATCTGTGAAGCACTCCATATTTTGGGGAAAAGAAGAGAGAGAGAGAGAGACAAACCAAGAAACAGACTCTTAACTATAGAGAACACACTGATTACTCCCAGAGGGGTAGGTGGGTGGGGAGATGGGTGAAATAGGTGAAGGGGATTGAGAATATACCTAACATGATGAGCACTGAGTAAGGGATAGAATTGTTGAATCACTATATTGTACATCTGAAACCAATATAACATTGTATGTTAACTATACTGGAATTAAAATGAAACTTAATAAAATAAAATAATAAAATAAAACAAATAATCTAAAAGTTCATCAGTAGAAAAAAAACAGTATATAAATTGGAGAATCTTCATAATGAGAATATTATACATCAATTTTAATGAATGAACTAGAGCTATATATATGAACACACAGATACATGAATGTCATAAAGATAAGTGAGGTTTAAAAAGCAAGTTGTAGATTGATATTTATGTGTGATGCAATCTGTTTAAACCCAAAGTTTAATACTACTATATTCTTTATTTATTTATATATTCATAAATTATATTTAATATATAAATGTTATTTATTTATATATTTATAAATTAGTTATATATTTCTATTTATTACTATATATTTTATAAATTACATTTATAAATATTTATATTTATATGATATAGATATTTATAAATTATATTTATATATTTATAGGTATTACTATATATACGAAATATATACTTAGTGTGTATATATATATATATATATATAAAATAAAAATTTAAAATAGGCATGAAAATGATACTAACTTCAGGCTAGTGGTTAGTTACCTCTAGCGAGGTAAACAGGGGAGAGACAGGAGTAGCAATAGATAGATGGGCTTCGACTGTATCTATAATGTTTATTTCTTAAAGAAAATAAGATCCAAAGCAAAAAGTAACAAAATATTGTTAAAAGTGGATGGCAAATACAGACAATTTTATTTTCCTAATTTCCTATATGTTAAGAATATTTAAAAAAAATATTTTTAAATACTGAAATGAAAACAAAGAGGAAGAATATATAGCCTTTGGTTTGGGACGCAAGTTTGAAATGGAACTGGGTTTGAATTCTGTCCCGTGTGATGTTACTCTGAAGTCAGTTTAATCTTTCTGCACTCAGTTTCCCTCATTTCTTAAAACAAAGAATAATAATAATGGCTATGACTTCTGAGGATTGTTGTAATGATTAAACACAATAATCCACCTGAACTAACCTCATCCAGAGACTAACACTTCCCTTCTCTTCACACTTTATTAGACAATGCTAGAGCTTTTCTTTTCCTTTTTTTCTTTTTTTTTAACATTTATTATTGAGAGACACAGAGACACAGAGACACAGAGCGTGAGCAGGGGAGGGGCAGAGAGAGGAGGAGACACAGAATCGGAAGCAGGCTCCAGGCTCCGAGCTGTCAGCACAGAGCCCCACGCGGGGCTCGAATTCACAAACTGTGAGATCATGACCCGAGCCGAAGTTGGTCACCCAACAAACTGAGCCACCCAGGCGCCCCTAGCTTTTCTTTTTCTTTTCCTTTGTTTTCTTTTTTTCTCTTTTCCTTTTTTTCCCTTTCCAACAATATAGGCAGCGAGGATGAAAAAAGTATGGCAATTCATATATGCTGAAAAATAAAACTGCTGAAAAATGAAACTTCTCATTGAAGTTTGGTCACACTATCCCCTAAGAGATGATGTCTTAGTTTAAATATTCCTGGAAGCAAAACCTCATACAGGATTCAAAAGTAAATTAGTTCTGAAATTCAGGAAACTACGACAGAGAAACAGAGAAGTGGTATAAGAAAGGGAAGGCAGCCTATAAACTGCACTCTCAAACCAGCTACCAGAGTGAGCCTAGTCCCTCAGAAAGGCTCTAGAAAACAGTATAAAAAGCATAATATCTCAGAATTATCCCATCCCAGGGATGAGCTGTAGTGTTTGTACAATAGCAACCCCTGAAGAGTTAAGTGGCCGAGGACTACACACAGGAGTGTTAATTTCACAGCGCTTCCGGCCTGGTCGCCAGAGCATTGGAAGTATGGCTTTCTACATTTTCAAGAAGAGTCAGCTGGTCGGAGATGCAAACACTAACTCAAGCACACTGAAGCTCCCAGGGGATAAAGGTGGATCACTGACAGCACCAACTACAGCCATGCTATACAATGATGCTATTATTAAAGAGAACAAACGGAGAAAAGGAGACAATGTGGTCTAGGCTCTGTTGACTAATTGGTCCAGAACTTGTTCTTCCCTCAACTTCTGCTTGAAAACAGTAACACTAATTTTGATTACATTAATTACATGTAAACTGATTTAATTTTGTAGGTTCTTTAGAGACTGAACATTCTTCTTTGGTCAAAAATGGAATGTCCAGGTAACATGGCATAAGAAAAATGAATTCTAGATATAAAATTATTCAAAATACAGGAAAATTAATTTAGGAAAAAAGCTTTAACAGAGATTGCTTTTTAAGTATTTTTGTCTCATATTCACACCATCTAATCCATTATGCTGCTCATTTTGTTTGAATATAAACATTACATTAAAAATGTTATAAAGTCAGAAGTGGTAGACACTATCACAGTAAGCACATCTAGTATGAAACCATGAGTTTGAGCCCCATGTTGGGCTCTGTGCTGACAGCTCAGAGCCTGGAGCCTGCTTCAGATTCTGTGTCTCCCTCTCTCTCTCTGTACCTCCCCCCTCACACTCCGTCTCTCTCTCTCTCTCTCTGTCTCAAAAATAAATAAACATTAAAAAAATTTTTTTTAAACGTAATAGTACAAAAGGACTAATGAAGACGTGTCTGGGATAACACAAGAATCTGACTTATTAGATAAGACGTGTGTATCTCCTAAAAATGAAGTTCCTATTAAATTCTGTGTGAATGTATTTGATAGGCATTTAAAAGTTCTTACGATTAAGGATGGGATTTTTTTTTTTTTTTTTTTTTTTGCATAGCTTGTAATTCAAACTATCCGCTAGAAACAGTATACAGGCAAAAAAAAGAGAAGTTAGTCCTTATTTTTCATTGAATTCTCCTTATTATTGGTGAAGATAGCTAGGTCTATTTGTTGTCCATGTGTATTTCTTTATGAATTGTGTCTGGCTTTTTCCTATTTTTCCTTTGTTGTATTTGTCATTTTTATAATTTATCAAAGTTCTTAACATATTTGTCAGAAAAGTAATAAGAAGAAATTTACCCATTGTATATTAAAATTTACTATAGGGGTGCCTGGGTGGCTGAGTCGGTTAAACATCTGACTCTTGATTTTGGCTTAGGTCATGATTTCATGGTCATGAGAATGAGCCCCGCATCAGGTTCATATGCAAATTTGCGCATGCAAGTTTAATACAGATAAACCATATTGTTAGTTTTTAACAATTTATTTTTTAAAAAAATTTTTTTTCAACGTTTTTATTTATTTTTGGGACAGAGAGAGACAGAGCATGAATGGGGGAGGGGCAGAGAGAGAGGGAGACACAGAATCGGAAACAGGCTCCAGGCTCCGAGCCATCAGCCCAGAGCCTGACGCGGGGCTCGAACTCACGGACCGCGAGATCGTGACCTGGCTGAAGTCGGACGCTTAACCGACTGCGCCACCCAGGCGCCCCAGTTTTTAACAATTTAAATCCAAAAATTGATTAATAAGAACAGACTCAAAGTTAACAAATACCCATTCATCAAGTACAAAAAATAACACCTCACAATAAAGCCAAAAAGAGTAAAATAAAAACAGAAAACCAAGGTTATATCCAAGTGTAAAATAAGAATAAAGAAAGAAATTGAATAGAATAATCAAATTAAATAATATGCACAAAGATCTGCTTATATCCCTAAGCTGTTGACTTACTCATTTTATTTTCAAACACTGGAATACCTTCCATATGCTAAACATTGTACAGAACTTCAAAATAAAGAAACTGATAGAACTACTCCCTGACCTAGAAATCACAGTAATTTCACAGAGGCCACTGTTAGAACAAAACAAAGGCTGGAAACAGACTCAACTATATACATAATTTAAAATATTAGTATTTCCCATAGCAAAGATAGATTATTTGATCCCAGTGTTAGATCACCTGAGGGAAAAAAGTTGGATCCCATTTTATACCTTGCACTAACACAAATTCCAGATGGATCAAGAAAGCATGGGAAAGTTTCAAAATATAATTTCAGAGTAGAGAAGAGATCTAAGTATAATTTTTTTAAAAAATAATAAAAGCAATGACTAACAGAAAGAATAGCATAAAAACCAAAAATGGGGGCACCTGGGTGGCTCAGTCAGTTAATTAAGCATCCAACTTTGGCTCAGGTCATGATCTCACGGTTCGTGAGTTCAGGCCCCACATTGGGCCCACTGCTGTCAGCACAGAGCCCATTTCAGATCCTGTTTCTTTGTCTCTCTCTCTCTCTCTCTCTCTCTGCCCCTCCCCCGTTTGTGCTCTCTCAAAAATAAATAAAACATTAAAAAATAAACAAATAGAATTTATTTTAATAAATTGATGCTGCATATATTGCTCCATTTCTCAGAAAAACTCCAAAGATATCAGGAACAGATCAAATATGGTACACCAACAAAAAAACTGCACAGCATAACTACCTAAGATAGGCAAGGCTGACAGCTACTGTCCAACCTTCAGCACACAGCAACTCTGTTCCCAAGACTGTACTAGGCCCATCAAGAAAAGCAGTCAACAGCAACATCATAGACATAGCATCATAGATTCCTGTGCCATTCCCTGTTTTATTTTATTTCATATTTTTGAGAGAGAGCACGAGCACAAGCAGGGAGAAGGCCAGGGGGAAAGAGAGAGAATCTTAAGCAGGCTCCACGCTCAGCACAGAGTCCAACACAGGACTCAATCCCACGACCCTGGGATCATGACCTAAGCTGAAATCAAGAGTCAACCAACTGAGCCACCCAGGTATGTCCAAACCCTGTTTTAAATCAGTGATTCTCAGCCTTGTCCTCAAACTAACACCATAGGCATCACCTGGGAAGTTGTTAAAAA